GTAGGAAAACCTATAGAAGGTTTGTAAAAGTTTTCTCACCTTTTCCTTCCTTTCCCTATTTTTTTTTTCTTCTTCAAATCAAACGCAGCCTAAAGGTCAATACAACAAATCATTCAGTTAAGCTACTTCATCTGTTGTCAAATACTATAAGCTGAACTTTCGACTGGGATAATCTGCTAGCATTCGTTGTGGTTCATGGTTTGGTTGAATCAACAATTTACGGTACAAAATTTTGTATTTTAAGCTATTTTGTGTGTATTTGCACTGCACACATTTGCATTTCTACTCTTTCCAAACTGAGTCTAAATGAATTTCTCATGACATAGAGGATGAGTGCAAATTGGGTAGGCCAGGTTGGGGTTATGGTCCCCAGGCCCAAATATAAGATTTGTGCCTGAGACCTGAATTGAACCGAGTCTGAGGTCAAACCCGATCTTGGATGACCAAATATGTATGCATTTATGTATGTAATCATGCATACAAGTAAATATGTATGAAGACTCGGACTACCCAAGGGCTAGGCCTGGATTTAATCAAAAGAATAAAAAAAGAACAAAATCTTGGGCCCAGGTCCAACCCAAAGACAAAAAAACTAACCGATATGTAGAAGTAAGGATTAAGGGTCTGTTTGGTTCACATTCAGAATTGGAAACAAAATCTTTCAAAATTAGAGTTGGAATGGCCTTTTCCCATAATTTGTTTGGTTCAAAAAAAAATGAAAATGATAATTGGAATCAATAGGAATGAGATTTCATTCTCAAGGGAGGAGAAAAAAATAACAATTTCTTCAAATGGGGGAACACCATTCCATCAAGAATGGAAATGAAATTCCGATTCCAATTCTATTATAGACCCTTATTCTTGCAAACCAAACGGGGCCTAAGAAGTGTTGAACGTGATTTCTTTTAGTTATGGGATGGGATAAATCGCAGGCTTCGGATATTTGAGTGGGTTCCATGGAGGATTATGGGGCATTATATTTGAGGGAGAGGAGAGAAGGCCATACAAGATGAGGAGTTAAAGCAGATACGATAGAAGGAAAAGACAACACTCAACAGGTTATAGTTTAGATGCGACTGTTCAGCTAGCTTCAGCATTCGTGCATTTTGATAGGCGGGGAAAGGGATAAACACCATGGAAACATAGATGGTGCTGAGGTGTTCGTGTTTTTCCTTTATGTCGTACCCGACGGAACATGGGATGCTGGTAATTAGAGATATGGCTTTTTATTTATTTAAGTTCAAAGTACAAAATCATTCAAATTCTGTACACACCATCCAAGTACACATTTTAATCAATGAGTGGTGGCTCGGTTTGCATGTAAATTAGGTAGTCTCAGGATGCGATTTACAGGCTTATTATTAACTTTCACTACCTTTGAAAGTGAGGAACTGAGACAAAAGGAAGTTATGTTAATAAGCTTCTGCAATCGGCAATAAAAGAACTAATAATTATGGTTATGTCCACGAGCAATATTAGGGTTCTTGTTGTGAGTTTCAAAAATAAATGAAAACAGTTGGATTTGATGGTTTCTAAAATAAAATTATGCAAAATATGTTCTTAAGTGTATACTTGTTTTATTTTTAAAATTGAAACTAAAAACATGCTTTTTGAATTTATAGTAATAAAACTTAATTGTACATTGTTTAAAGCAAAAACATAGTTCTATAAATCATCTGTAATTTCCGTACCATAAAACTTGTTTTTGATTTCAGGAACACAAATTGTTTTTGAAAATAAAACAACTTGCTTTTTGCCTTTCAAAACAAAAATACAGTTCAAGAACGTGTATTTATTTATTTATATTTTGCTGATGTGATAGTTTCAAAAATAAATGAAAACAAAAGTAGAACACCCCTTGGTAAAGCAAAGTTGTTCAAATAACATAGTTGATGTCTAGATGGGTAGGGATATCAACCGGTTGGGTTTGGTATGTGTTTGTCTCAACTAATCTGACCTTCCAATGTTCCCATCTAAACTCACCTTCTTTGGTGAAAGAAAAAACAAAATAAACATTAAAAGGAATCATAAATTTTAATGTTAGGGAATTAGAAGTCAGAAAATTATAAGAATATCCATATATGTAGGGTATTATAACCCTAGGGCTGTCACCCAAACCTGAATCCAATCCGAACCCAACCCTACATTTGAATAATCCTGACCTTAACATGATCCGATAGTGTCAGGTGAACTGGCCCATTGACATCCCTATAGATGGGCATGACATAGTAATTTGGTTAATGGAACAGAATCGGGTTAAGCTGGGTTTACAAAACCCGACCCATTGACATCCCTATATGGGTAATGGGTATGACTTATGTACTTGGCTAGTGGAAATGGGTATCACATAGTAATTTCGATTTGGGAAGGATTCAGTTTTTGGAGGATGTGTTGTGTGAAATCTAGGTGGTGTGATGTTTCCCTTGGAATAAAGAGGTCCTTTTGGTACTCAAACAAGAAGGTTATTGGAGTGTTGTTGACTTGTGAATCTTGTATTCTGGGGAAACCATTTGGAGCCTACATTGTTTAAGAACCTCAAAGATCTTAAGATGGATGCACTATTTGACTCACTGGATATCATCTCAAACTGAAGTTCCATTCCTGCGTTGCATCTCAATTTGGAAAGAGTACAAATACAAATACATACAAAATAATATAAAATACCAGATTTTGTACTCTACATATTTGTATTTCTACTCCTTCCAAACTGAGCATTAGCAGTAGTGAAATACATCCTTAAAAAACTCTTTAGCCTTGAATAACTGTTCCCTTTCAAAATGGAATAGACTAATTATGAGCTCATCAAATCAAGCATTTTAACTGGAAGTAGATCAGGTAAAGGCTCTGCCTCTCTGGCTAGTTGTAATGGAGACCTGGGACTGAGTCCTGCCTTCACTAGGATTGGGAGCGCTGGGAGAAGGCTGTCCCAATTGTGTAGTCCATTGGCCATGGAAAACAGTGGTGCTTTGGGGACATCACTTTGAATGACTAAGCACACTTTCCAAGAGTTTATAACTGTCATTGATGGTAAAAGGTAAACAATATATTCTCTGAAACTAAAACTAAATAAATTCCACTAAGGCCCTGTTCGCTTTTCGGGAAGTTACTTACTCGGGTAAATGAAGTTACTTGGGTAAGTTTTTCCTGGGAAACACTTACCCAAGTAAATGCATTTACCCATGTTCTTTTATTTCTCATGTAAATAAGGTAATGTCCTTTTTAACCATAAAAATCCATTATTAAAAGGGGCATTTTTGTCCCATTCAAGTGCTGGCAACTTTCCCCCTAGGTGGGAAAGTTATTTACCCACCTAGGATACGGGTATCACTTACCCGTGTAAGTAATAATACCTAGGAAAATAAACTTTCCCTGTTCCCCACATAAATCTGAAAAAAGAACATAGGATTCTTGGTCAATGGAAACCAAAATCCCATTGACCAACTTTCCCCCCTCTCAAAATCCGAAAAAATAATGCCCCCTAAATATGAGTGTGACACCTTTTGTTAGGTAAAGATAGATTTTGGTAGGGTGTAACTTGGGTGGACCCCAATATGCGCCTGGGCCAACCCAACCTGATTTTTTTTTTCTCTTGGGTAGATTAAAGCTTAGAGTCAGATCCCTTGAATGTGCATATTGCCAATATACATCTTCATACAGAAAAAAAAAAATGATAGAGTTTCCCATATAGGCTGATACCCATTGATTGCCTCTCCTATCCATTTATCTCTTCCTTCAAAAAGAGTGTTGACACTTGACAGGAGAGGGAAGAGGCTGCCTGCTGCATGAATACAATGATACAGTAACTTTGTTGTTGTAATGTTGCAGACGACCTTACCAAATGGAAACCTTCTACTAACAACTAATCTCTGGATCCTCTCTCTAAAGCTTCAAAAAACCCATACCTCCCCCTCTCCATACACAACTGGGTGGGGGGGATCCAATCTCAACAAACTCTACCAGGTGAGTCTCATTCATTATGTAAACCGTGCAAACAGTCACTCATACACTTGTTTCCAGGGATATCAAAGGTGACCCATGGATATATCCCTATGGAGAAGTCGTCTTGGATGTCCAGATTAATCTCTGTGGATACGCCCCATTGTAATTTGGCCTCTTTATAATATACTTCAGTAGTTCCAATTAAAAAAAAAATGAAGGTTGTATATAGCCCTCAATGCTCTTACAGAGAGCTCGTTAGAAGCTGGAAATCCTGTGCTGAGAAGTGACTTGCCCACCGGGAAGGATCTTCAATGGAGGATTCAAAGTACTGTGTTGAAACATAGGGGTTAGGGGATGCTCAAGTAAATTTGCTAAAAACGAAACAAATGGTGAAGGACGTTGTAATGGTGATAGAGATTGGTTTTGAATCACTTTGCATTAAGGGGTTTGGTTATCTTTTATTTCCCTATTGTTGCTGTCCATAGGATAGAGGTCAGGAAGTTTGATGATGGGGTTTGGAGGTTTGGTTAGGTGAAGCTTACTCCAAATTTCCAATTGATTGTGACCTCTGCATATATTTTGAATGGATCCATTGGCCTCAACCATCAATTTTACTCTCCAATTATGAGCTTGAGTATGCCAAAAAGCTTGATCCAGCTAAGGATCCTGTCTTCTTCAATCAAGCAATGGCTTTAGGTTTGTGTCTTGTTGAGATTGACCAAATGGACAATAGAGAACTCCTGAGCATGGATAGGAATTGAATGAGCTTGAGGTTGTAAGCATTAAGATGATGAAGTTGATAGCAGCAGAGAAGGGAATTTTTCATCTCGTTGTAAAGCAGAACAGGAAGAGGATTTCCAGTATGATACAAACTGTGACCAAGCAGGGAAGAATTCCATGCTCAAATTAGCATATGATTTTAAAGCTAAAACCCCATTCCATTTTGTGTTTCAAATCTAGGAAATGGGATTGGTCGAACTCTACTCTCCAAAGTCCAGACTGGATGGAAGAGTTGAGGAAGACAGCAGGGGAAATAGGAGTGGGAGCTAACAAGAGTTGGGTAATTTGCAAGTTTGTGTCTCATAAACTCGAGCATAATGGATCATATATATAAAAAACAAAGGAATATACAAATATAAGTTAAAAAAGATCTGGATCCCATATGAACTGTTCAGTGCTCATTTGTCTCAAAGATCTAACCATATGCTCATCAGTTGCACGAATTCGAATAAGTCTGTTTTGTATATTCTGAAAGGATGGATTATTCAATGCTTCAGATACGGTATGGTGTTGTAATGGGTCTTCCGAGAAATTCATCAAAGCTTCAGCTGCATTATCCTTAAGTTCCTCGGATTCACCATGCAACAAACTAATGAGAAGTGGAATGACACCTGCATCAGCCAGAGCTGCTCGATCTCCCTCATTATAACTCAATTGGGCAATAGCCCCAGAAACCCTCTCCTTTAAATCAGTATTTCCATCTCGCAAAAGTTCAACTAGAACAGGAATTATGCTAGAGTATCTAAATACAGATACAGAATACTTGTAACTCGACAGGTCCCACAGTACATCTGCAGCTGCAGCCTTGGCTTCATCATCATCTCCACTAAGAATCCTCACCAAGTGTTGGGCTATTGATACTGCATTTTCTTCTACAACAGCTAAGATACAAAATACGTCCTCTGCAATTTCTTTCCCAAGGGGTTCAGTTCCTTGGAGAAGATCTACATATAAGGGAATTGCCCCAGCTTGAGCAACCAATCTAATATAATCAACATGGGATGCGATTATACCAAGTGCATTACCAGCTACCAACTTGGTAGAGATATCTCCAACCCGCAGCAATTCGATTAGCAAAGGTATCACACCAAAACCAACAAGCATGGGTCGAACTCTTCTTGTGATCCCTAGTAACCCAATTGCCTGAGCAGCTCTGGTTCTAGAAACCATGCTGCCATTCCCAGCAGATTCAACAAGCAAAGGAAGGCCACCTACATTGATAATAACCCTCCTCACCTCTCTCAGCAATCCCAATGCACTCACAATCTCCAACAAGTAACGCCTTGTACTATCTCTGAATGATGCCGACATATTGAGAAGGATTTCCAATCCACCAGTTCTAGCTACAGTTATGCGATTATTAACACCACCGAACGTGACGAGACTCCAAAGACATTTTATCAAGATTCTCCGGAAGCTGGCTTCAGACCGTGGCAATAACCCTAGAAGGCAGGGGATGGCACCCGACTGACCAATGGCCACAGCCATTGAACCATCATATCGACGGGCAAGACAGTTCAAGCAATAAGCAGCAGCATGTTGAATTGAAGGGCTCAAACTCGAATCATTCAGAGGCCTACCCAGAAGATCTACGAGGAATGGAAGAGTGCGTGATAACACATTCTCAGGTGCACAACTTGTGAGACGACCGAGCTTGACGGTAGCCATTATTTGTAAGGACTCATTTTCAGAAGCTATTGTTCTTTCATAAAGGTGGAGTGCTTGATCCCAATCAATAGCCTTCTTCACTTGGCTTCTCTCTAGTTGCTCCATGGAAGAGAATTTGTATAATGGCAGGGCGCTACGCACCTACCTAGACCATAAATTTAGGACCCCCTCCCTCTGCAGAATTGCAAGATCACCACTCAAATTCCATGTTTACAGGTTTCCGGAAAAAACTTCAGGTTTCCAAAACAACACAGAGACACACTTTGCCTCTCAAGCTGTATGGGCCAAATTCCATACAAGACTTGGGTAGGTCCGAAAATCCTCAAGCACTCGAAACTCGAAAGGAATCACGAACAAATAACATTAAACCCAGAAAAGTTAAAACACCAATCGTTTGTTCTGCACTGCACTGCAGAGAATTGTCGCGAGTTTTGCTTAATCAGCGGTTGACAAAACCAAAATGGCAGAGGGAGATCTGAGAAGCTTTCACTGATCAACAAATGGTGATTGAAATTAAGAAAATTAAATCGGTGAAGAAGTAAAAGAATCTGGCAACTACCTGTTTGATGGAGGGAGATCTGAGAATTCCTCGTAGACTAAATTGCGAAGGCAGGAAATTTTCGATTACGGAGCGCCAATGGAAAATGAGAGAGAAGCCCTACCAAGTACCTAACATGAAAATGACATTAACTTTACTCTGTACCGAAAAAAGAGGGGAAAGTACCTGGTGGAAATCAAATACAAACATGTAGTTTTGGCTCAGTTTGGAAAGAGTATAAATACAAATATGTACAGTATAAATATATACAAAATATAAGGTTTTTCACTCTACAAATTTATATTTATATAAATACAAATATATAGAGTACAAAATTATCTATTTTGTACTGTACATATATTTCAAACATTCTCTCTGATTTATTTATAAATACAAATTGGTTTAATTTTGCATCGATAAATTTTATATTACAATTAAATGGTTTTTAATTGAAAAGAATATAAACATGAATTTTAAGATTGAAATCCACATTTTTTACATCGATCAACAAGTGTAAAGTTTGTATTCAAAAAGTGTAAAATGTAAAGTTTGTATGATTATCAAAAGTTTTCAAAACTGAACCAGAATACATTTATGTATCAAACCAACATTTGCACCACAAAGCCAGGGATTGAAGGTTGGGGACAGAGGAGCCCAGATCTCCCAACCACAGGACAAGATCCTAATTGGCGACAGAGCAAGTAAGGCTGTGAACGGTATCCGATTCTTCAAATTCAATCTCACAAAGGGTGATTTGAATTTGATCCTATTATAATTTGATGGAATATGGATCCATCCCTATTCGATCCAATAATATCTATTTGATTTGACTTGAATATTTGTTCATAAATACTTAAAATTTATATTATATGTATCATTAAAGTTGGTTTAAATGTTGTAGTTTTGTTAAATTATCATAAGTTTAAGTTTTCATACAAGTTATTTGTTATTCATTTTGTTAAAAAAAATATAATATCAATGTTCATTTTAATTCATTTGATAAATAATATATAATATTTTATTATTTTTAATTTTATTCATTAAAACTATTCAATATGCAATTGCAATCTATATTCAATTTGAATCCAATATAAATTCAAAAGATAAGATTTGATTCAGATTCAAATATAATTGAATCAAATCGACATATGCTTGTATTCAATTCAAACTTATCCATTTGTAGCCTAAGAGTAGGGTGAAGGTGAAGTCTACTCACCTTATCATGGAGAGTCAGCAGCTTTGTGAGTTTGATCTCACTTATCATGCCACACCTCCTTGTTTCAAAAATGTTTATGATAGGAGCAAAAGTTTTTTCGACATGAGACAGGGTTGTAGTCAAAAGACTCAAAACAATCTCATGAGTCTCGTTACTCTCAACCCCAATCCTCAGTAGGGGTGTAAACGGATCGAATTCAAATTGGATTAGGTAATATTCAATCCGAATTCGAATAGAAAATCTATATCTAAATTCGATTTGATATTCGACGGATATTAAAAATTAATATTCAAATTTGAATCCAATTAAATATTCGAATATTCGATTCGATTAATTAATTATTTTAGATAATTAATAAATATATAAAATAAATGTTTTATTGATATAAAGTATATACATTATTTATATAATTTAATTATTATATATATTATATAAAATATTTTATATATTATATATAAGAATGAAATAATCGGTCAAATTCAGATATTTATTGAATCGAATCAGGTCATATTCGAATTCGAATCCGATTAACTATTCGATAAGAATAGGATATCCGAATTCGACCAATTAGATATTCAAATTATCCGAATTCGATTCGATTATGTTGAATATCGAATTCGAAATCGAATTTTCGAATACTGTTGACACTTCTAATCTCCAACACAAGAAAGAAACAAGCAAAAACTAAAGGTTGTGGTTGGTTCCAATGCAAATAAATTTGTATTGATGCAAAACCATGACAGTGCAAATGGTCCCAGTGTAAATTCTGACTTATTTTTGTTCCAAATTTTAGTTTATTTTGTTTAATTGCAATATAAATGAAGTAAATTAAGACATAAAGCAGAATAAAATAAACACCAAAACAAAATTAAACAAGAATTTGCATTTTTTACATTTATACTAATGCAAATAAAATTGCAGTGCAATCAAACACAGTGAAAAGGGTAAATTTTACATACCCCAATGGCTGGGAGAATCTATCACATTAACTCCTTAAACCATTTTTTTTCATCATAGCTAGCTAGTGAGATACTATTAGTTAGGGGTAGATCTGTAACAAGCTTTGCAAGTTATTTGAGATCAGCAAGGTTCAAGCTATTTGTTAGTGAGATACTATCATTACGTATCAGCCTATATCGGCCGATACGTATCGTATCAGGGCCTTTTCTATACGCCCATACAGGGAGTGTATCGGGTCAGACCATGGTTCAGAGGGTAGCCGGGACTTAAACCAACCCCTCTAAACTGGTTTTGAAAAAAAAATAAATAAAACATAAAAAAATCACCCCTCTTGCTTGCTATCCACTAATCCATACACTACCAAAAGTTATAGCATGAATTATCATAGTCTTTAGAAAAGTTTAAGATGTGTCCTCAAAGCCATCATAAGCCTGATGAGGAGAATTTTGCATCGCTTTCACAAAGAAATAAGCCATCATAAGTCTCTTGTACTCTTAATTGTGAGTAACATTAAAGTAGAGCAGGTACCACGAAGAACAACAACACATCCACCACATTGATACACCGGATAATCAGGGAGATCTGTTACAAGATTCTCACACTTGGGCAATACACAATTTTGAACTTTGGTCCATCCGCCATTAACAAAAACAGAGCCAAGATCAGAAGAATTTAGAACTCGGGAGCTTAAAAAATGCATTAGTTTAGTTCGAAGTTGGAATTGGAATCGAAATGATCTATTTCTATAGTTTGTTTGATTCAGTTAAGAATGGAAATAAAAATTGATTTCATTCCCAAAAAAGGAACAGGAAATAAATGAGAATAGAATTCCCATCAAGCAGTTGGAATTGGAACAGCCTTAATATATTGAAAGGATAAAGAGAAATTCTAAATGCTGCAAACCCAGTTTTGAATTCTCTAATTTCGCTTTCATAATTTGGCTATGTTATCTAATTTGTTAGTTCCATCTTGATATAAATATTGGCTATCAAAGTTTGATTGTGGGTAAGACGACCATATGTCCGTATTTCCTATGTAATGTTATTGTTAGAAATTGGATTTAAGACTTGTTCTTGAACTCCATGCATTAAAATAAAATGTTTACTTGAGCTTGATCATTTACATATTTCGGTATCCATGGTTCCATATCCTTAACGATACCTTTCACTTCTTTACCGGAAAAAAAAAAAAAAAATCACAACACTTTTCACTTCATCATTCTTGAAAGATGACTCTGATTTTCTAAAACAATCTCCCAAGAACTCTGACTTCTCCACCCTCAATTAAACGACTACCGGAGCCAACCAAATTACCAAAACGATCCATATTGTTAACAGAAGCTTCAACGACATTTTTTGCAGGCGATATGGATAAGCTGAAAGATTGGAAGACCTCTAGATGTCTCCCTAATTGATCAGCTTCAATGTGATTCAAGTTTATTTTTTTCAATCAATTAATTTCATCAATTTATCAGCAGTATCCTTGCAATTCTCCTTTTTACTTGTTTTCCTACTTCCATTTGCATGTCTATCTCTCATCAATAGATGGACACCACCCCAACGGACAAACCTCGAGGAAAATCCCATAACCAAAGTGAGATCGTCTTCTTCATACACAGTCGTTCGAAAATAGATCTACTATGACTCAACTGAATCATTTTCTTTGCCCATGTTTAAATTTCTAGTTCTGTAAATCCAGAATCTTCAAAATTGACATAGGGGCGTTCTTTTTTTGGATTTTGAGAGGGGGGAAAGTTGGTCAATGGGATTTTGGTTTTCATTTACCAAGAATCCCATGTTCATTTTTCAGATTAATGTGGGGACCAGAGAAAGTTTATTTTCTTGGGTATATACCCATATCCTAGGTGGGTAGAAGAAAGTTGCTAACACTTGAATGGGACAAAACAGCCCCTTTTAATAATAGATTTTTATGATTAAAATGGTCATTATCTTATTTACCTGAGAAATAAAAGAACATGGGTAGCAACTTACCCAGGTAAGTATTTCCCAAGAAAAACTTACCCAAGTAATTGCGTTTATCCGGGCAAGTAACTTACCGAAAAACGAACAGGGCCTTAATATCAGCTTGGATAATTTAAGGGGTAAAACTGGTATTTAAAAAAATAAATGCTTTGCATTAGCACTTTTCCCTATGAAAAGTTAATGGAAGGGAGGTGATTGTACATTTTTTTAAACTAGAGGGGAGGTTTGTATTATTGTTGGAAAACCCAGAGGAGGTTTTTATATTTTACCCTTTCTTTTAATTAAATTCCAATTTCCAAACAGATATTACGTTTAAAAATATCATTTAACATGCACAAACTACCAGGGGTGTCTTAGTAATGCACAAACTATATAGGAGGTATTTTAGTTGATACAGAAAAATACAACTGGTGGTCTACGTTAAAGAGGTCATAGTTAGGGGTTAGCCGAATCCTGAGTCTATTTTGAAATTGAACTAGGATTAACCGAAACTCAATCGAAGTCGACCGGTTAATCGATTAACCAATTCAGTTAACCGTCGATTTGATTCATTGGTTTTTCAGTTTTTTATATTTAAAATATATATTATAAAAAATATATAAATTTATAATAAAAACTAAAAATATATATAAAATATTATATTTTAAATAATATATTATATATTATAAATATATATATATTTATATAATACATATTTATTAATTTATAATATATAGAAAATATAAAATATATATGATATGCATAAATATATGTAAAATATATAGAAATATAGATATGCCGGTTAGTTCGATTAACCACCATTTTTCTATATTGATTAACCAAAATCAAACCGATCATTTCAATTAATCGGATTTTTGGTTCAATTTCGGTCAATTTTTTTGTTTGCTTCGATTTTTCTTGCTCACCCCTAGTCATAGTCATAGAGATTGCTTGTACCTTCTAACTACCTTTTTGCTTCAACGGTAAGAAAAATTAAGAAATACCTCGTGGATTCCATCCTCTACTAACA